AAGTAGGTCGTACTTCCTTTAGACACCCCAGGGAAAAAGTGCCTGAATTCTGTTCTTTGGGGAAGCAGATACTGTGGACTGCTCAACTGATAGCCATTCTCACTTTATACCTTACAAAGAGACCCTTCATTTAGTTGGAAGGTGGTAAAGAGCTTAGTTTAAAATATTTACTTTCTCCAATTCCTTTGCACCAAGGATGGTCTTGTGATGCAGTTCAGGCAAATGAGACATTAGTCGAGGGGTTCTGGGATAGTTTTGCTCCTCTGCTCTGGATCCTTTCCCTTTCTCTTCCCACCAGTCTTTGCTTGGAACAGATTAGAAGCCAGCAGTTCTCCTGGGACCATAAAGGAACAAATCTGAGAGTGGTAAGAAAAATGAAAAGTATCTGGATGCCCATTAGTATCCTGAACCAGAACTTCAGTCCTAGGCACTTTACTGCCTGACATAAACACATCTCTATGCCGTTATTGGCTGCATTTTCTATTATTTGCTGCCAAATGCTTATTCTGGATAATAATAAAAAATCACACACTGAACATACTCCAATATTCTATTACTTTTACAATTTTTATATAGTAGTATAATATACTACTAGGGTTCACTGTGCTCATTCCCTCAAATTAACCTCATTGTTACTAAAAGTCAGAGAAAAGGGGGAAAATGCTAAATCATATCTGTAGAGAGAAAAACAAAAAATGAAGATGAATTCATACCATTTTAATATTTCTCCAGTTTCTTCATCAAGTTTGTAGAATTCTTTGAGTTTTCTTCTTCATTTACTTCTCTCTCTAATCCACTCTCACGTGCATCTTCACATTATAGACCAAAGCTGCATCATCTGCATAAACTAAGTACAAACTGCAAGGAGGACAGTGGCTGAACCAGTGTCGGTCCACAGAGTGAAGGGGCCATTGTGACATTTATATTGTGATAAATGTCAAGGAAGGAGTTGTACTTGAATGGTAGCCTCTGTACAAAATGCAGTGAGGCAGCTGTGCATTCATGCAGATTGTTTCGTTTAATTCATAGAACATTGCAAAGTAGAAAACTTACCACCTTTCTGAATTATGTGGGATATTTGCAAAGTTTTGTGTTGTGAGTACTTACAGTGTCATCTAAAACCACAATGTGATCCATTGCTTTTTGGATCTCTTCTTCCTCTGATATTTAGTACTTCAGAATGTTTTGATGATATGAACTCTAATAATTTAATTTCTTTAATGCATTTCACATTTCAGCAATGTAAACATTGTTAATGATTAATATACCTGTTGGCACTTTGAAGAATGGTTTATGAAATCAAGGACTTAGAAAAGTGAAGACATTTCTTCCCCCATCCTCCTTCTTCAGAGAAAACAAGAACTCAAAATTATATATGAGTATGAACATTCAAAGTAGTTAGACAAACTTTTTCTATTCAGTTTGCACTTTCACTGTCAAGAATTGCTGCCTATTTTTATTGTTAGAGTGAGGCTATCAAAACCTCATCCAGCCTAACCTCACAGTTTTTAGATGCAGGTAAAGAAACAGAATTTTTAATTAATGTAATATATGTGGCTTATTTATAAATTCATATTATAATTAAATGAACTCTGAAATGTTTACACTTGGTATTTGCTATGATGATATCAAAACCAGTGTTTCCCAAATTTCACTCAATTGTTATCACTTTTGGGATTTCGAGTTCCACCTCTGCTGTAGTTACTTAATATTTTTCTTTAAATTTATTTAAAATATACACATACTTTAAGTCTACCTCATTCTAAGCAACAATAGCTATAAAATTATAAATCTGGAGTTGCTGATTGTGTATCTTTTATAACATATTATAACAGTTTTTACAAATAGAAAAAATAAAAATATTTTGTCTCTGGCTGAGCTAAAATAATCTATTTCCATAATGTAGCAGATATTGGCATAATGATTATCATTAAAAATGAATGGTGAAAACTTTTTTGAGAACAAAAAATAGTCTGAGAATTCTGATTTTGATGAAGACCCTTACCCTGGACAACTCTGAGAAGAAAAAGAGAGTTACCAAATTATTGTCTAATAGAAAGAACTCTGGCCTAGAATCCCCCTCTGCTCTGCCACACACTATGCTTCAGTTTCTCATGTTTTGGGGGATAAAAAATAACCCTTAACTTACCCACCCAAACGTAACCTTCCTTAGATTCAGTACACACAAGTGAAGAGGATCCACAAGCAGGTGGCTAAGAGCTGGTGACGTTTTATCACAGAGAGGAGAACGCTTAAGAAACGACATCAGTGTCTGAATGGCTGGGGTATATAGAAAAGGAGGGAAAAGGCAAGAGAAAGAGAGCTTAACACACGGAAGGAAAATGAGAGCTCTTCAGCTGGGTTTGGGGCTCATCTGGCTTATTCAAGAATAAGTGAGGTGATCCGTCACTTGTCTGTGAGGTTGAAGAGCATCATGTATCAGATGAGGTCTGGACAGATAGCCTCAGGTCCTTTCTCACCCTAATAATAATAATAGGTACTGATTATTAAATGCTCACTAAGCTGAGCAAAGCATTTTACAAGTCTTATTTAATTTTCATGCACACACACCCAAGAAAAACAACAGAGGTAAGAATGATTGTATCCATTTTACAAATAAAAAAACTGAGTTTAAAATTTGGCAGAGGTTTAGTCTGAACCCAAGTCAGAGTGACTCAAAGCCCATCTACTATCCTTGTGTCACACTGTAAATGTGGTCTGGGAAAGATAAAGTTTTTCTTTTGTTTCGTTCTGGTCAGAAAGTTTCTTTGCCCATTCAGCCAAACTGAAGCCAAGTTATCTTCTTGAAAAAAATTTGTTGTAAACTGTAAGTACCATGTGAAAAGGAAACTGAAGAGCCATTATCTCATCTGGTTTCCTTCAAATTTCTGAGAAAACCAACACATTTCCCAAGGACAACTTATGCTTTTAATTGTGATCCCTGTGTTTTGAGAGTAGAGAATAAAATAGAAGAAACCAAAATCTTCAAGGAAAATTTATGCTTTTAATTTTGATCTCTTTGTGTGTTTTTTAAGAATGGAAGCAGAAGACTCCAGAAGCCATGCCATTTATTTCTCAAATAATATTATAAAATTAGCAAAAACTTTGATTTCTTTTGTTTGTCTCAATCTTAAACCAAGCCCTTGTTTTACGAAATGTTAAAGGGACTCATCTAAGAAAAAGAAGATAAAAAAGATGAACAGTGAAAGGACAGCAAACTCACAGTTATCAATAACCACACCTAAAACAAAAGCAAACTAAGAGGACGGCTAGATCAGGAGTGAACCATAGAAATGAAGATCATGTGGAAGGTTAGCAACAGGGGAGTGGGAGAAGGAGAAGGGGGGAGAAGGTACAGAAAATAAGTAACATAAACTGTAGATAGAAAATAGATAGGGGGAGGGTAAGAATAGTATGGGAATTATAGAATCTAAAGAACTTGAGACACGTGTTCATGAACTAAAGGGGGGGAATGGTGGGGAAGGGGTGGTCAGGGTGGAGGGGAACGGAGGGGGGAAATAGAACAAATGTAATGGCATAATCAATAAAATTTTTAAAATTTTTTAAAAAAAATTTTTTTAAAAGATAAACAAACATCAGTGAAAGTATCTGTTCAAGGAAAGCAAAGCAAAGGGCAGTTTTGTATTTAAGCACCTCAGGGTGCTCAAATAATCTCAAGGGGTATTGGGACATTTTCCAAACACAAATAATTCAACATTGTGTAAAGCAAATATGTGCCTTAATCAGGTTTTAAGTAGAGTGAAACTTAGGAAATCAGACAGTCATAGCAGGTGGTCTAGAAACTCCAAAAAGTTTTGGGTAAAACTGGCTTAAAAAGGAGAAGACAACCAAAAAAAAAGGCCAAGGGGAGAGGAGAAGGAGAGGAAGGAAGGAAAGGAAGGGAGGGAGGGAGGGAGGGAGGGAGGGAGGGAGGGAGGGAGGGAGGGAGGGAGGGAGGAAAGGGAAGAAAAGAAGGAAGGAAAGGGAAGAAGGAAGAAGAAACTTGGAAATGGAGTACTCATAATCTATTCATAGAGTATGGAAAATTCATACTTGAGATACCACTTATCACTGTGTTTTGCATTTATTTTCTTGTGGAAAATATATGAAGGAAAATGATCATCTCTACTATATTGTCTTATAAATTCACACACGTATCCTCTTAATCTCTATATTATAAACATCACATTCAAGATTAAAAACAATAGTTTTATTTCATTTAGTCTTGATATTAAGATCCCACAATGGAATTCACATTTGATTTTTTTCCCCATATTAATTTCTCTTTTTACTGACTTTAGAAATCTTTTCATTTTTTTATCCATGAAACATTTGAACCTCACTAATATCACCAATATGGAAACCAAGTTGGGCATTCCTTCATCCCCACTAAATTTTTTACAATGAAATGCCATAAATAATTAACATTGTTTAGAAGACCAGAACTTCAAATTATCAAAAGCCATGTTTAATAAATATATACTGTCTTAAAAAACCTTTATACTAATGCTTTACCTTCTCTGCCAGTTCTAGAAATTATTTTTCTTTATTTTCATAACCCTCAACAAAGTGCCTGTCCAGAGAGAAACTCATAAAAAATAATTTTTGAATTAAAGAATGACTATAGGCATGAACTAATGGCTTTTCTTATTTTATGATAATAGAAGATTTATAAAACGCTAATGATTTGTTAAAATACAGTAGGAAATAGCTCATATTTCAAATAATAACATAAAATGTGGCAAGGCAGACTTTGCATTTTATTTTAGATTTAGTATTTTTCTTTTATAATATCTAGTCTAAACACTAATATATTGTGGCCTTTCAATCAAGAAATCTGGCATTTATTCATCATTTTGAAATAAATACCATGTACAGATCTTAACTTAAAAGTTAACACAAAGTATTAAATTTTAGTATTTATTAAATGTTATTCTGTAAGTTAAACCAGACACATATTCATGTCTAAATGTATTTAATATTTATTTTTTACTCTTAAATTGATGCTATTTACATTTGACCTTGGAAGGCAAACTATATCAGTAGAACACCAGGGAAGCTTAGCAATATTAAAGTTAGAACACTCACACACTTGCAAAAGTCAATGTCATTAAAAACAAAAAGCACACTAAAATGAATGCTTGTTTTTGACTTGTAAGTGATATGGAACAACCTGTACTTAGTTCTAAGGTCCAATCAAGGAGGGCTTCCGAGGAGGTGTGCTACTACTGTGTGAGTGTGGAGAGCAGAGGTGGGGAGTGCTTCTGGAAGTCAAGGTGGCTTTCCATGGGTTGTTCAGAAAAGTGAATAGTTCAGTTATTCCCAAGGAGTCTTCTTGCTGCAGACCCCCTAGTTAATGGTCCCATTGCTCTTCTCTTTCACTGACGCCCTCTTCTTCTTCGGGGAATGCTGATTTACTCTGGCCTTTCAGGTGTTTAACCCCTGAAATTGCAAAAAAAAAAAATATGCTCAATTTAGGTGAAATTTATCTGGACAGATTCACTGCTTTGCTGCAAGAGATGAAGAAAATGAATGGAAAGTTTTCACTTGCGTATATGTATTTTCTCTAAGAATCTCAACAATCTAATCCTATATAAGCCTCTTAATTCACCAAAGAATACAAATACACGCAACCAAATTTCCATTAGACGCAGGCTGTCTTTTATAATTTAATCTTCTCCATTAAGAATTGCATCACAGCCTGTTAAAAACCTGTTAACTAAAAATCTGCTCACAGGCTCTTATTGTAATTCTGATATATCATTTTAGTTCAAATATTTCTTTTGGCATTCCTGAACTCTATTGCAACAAGAACCACTGAAACTCCTGGGAACAAAGAGGTTGGTGTTTGCCATTTTTGTAACTTGTAAATAACAAAAGAATCATAATATTGTTATTGGGAAAAGGAGCATACCCATATAATTATGAAACTTCTGTACTCAAAAGTCTTCAGTAACTTCCCCCACCACCTACAGAGAGAAAAAACATTGGCATACCTTTGCCTGCTCTACAGGCCTGTATGATCTGGCCTCTCCCTACCTGTTTGGTCTCATTTCTCACCAGCCTTTCCTGCTTCTGCCTTTCACAGTAATTTACTCTCTAACAATACAACCCACTCTCCCATATTCCCCGACAACCCCACACTTCCTCAAGCCTCCATGCTTTTCTTGTTCTATTCTCTGACAAATCGCTTCTTCCTTCTCACCCACCTGGTAATCTCCCACTCATCCTTCTGCTCTCAGCATGCCTGTGAAGGCTCCCTAATTCCCCAAGTAGAAGGACCTAGACCTTTCTCATACTTCCCCACTACTCTTGGGTCATCTTCTCTTATCTCCGTCATCTTACAGAACTGTATTTGTTCACATATCTTTTTCATTAGGGCAAACTTTTTGATGTCAGGATTATGTAGTTTTACTCTGTGGTCCCAGGCACATTGCCCGGCAAACAGTTGGTGCTCATTAATATTTATTGCATAAATGGTTGATGGAAGTTATAAAGTAACAAACAATTTGGTATAGATTTGTAGCCATTCCACAGTGATGTATATTCGTATTTTTTAATTAAATCAAATTTGGAATATACTCATAAATCAGAAGACAACTACCATAAATTATCTTTAGTTTCACTCAAGTCTATTCTGGTAAAACATCATACTACCTGAAACTCTGGGCATATGGGAAATTTTATACATATTTTATATTTTGTAAAATTATTTATGATATTTTTATATGTATTACTGAAAAACATACCAGTGAGAACTGATAAATGAAAGAATGTCACCGCTCATACTTGGTATGAAACAAAAAAATGAAAAAAGTGTGGATTTTCATGTACTGCAGTTAGCAAGCCTCAGAGTGCTGTTTGGCAAAGAATGATATCCTTGGGCTTGGTGAATTATCTTGCAAAAATATTTGACCAGTTGTAATAATATTTAAATACTTTAATTTGATCTGAAAACACAGATCACTCACAATTCCTGTTGACCCAAGACTCTAGAGAGACATTTATTATTAACAAATGCAACTTACTTCATATTATTACAAATTACATGGGTAAGAAAGGTCTGAATGCTAAGGAAAGGGGAAGAGAGTTCAAAGAGCATCCAGTTAATCACTGCTAGAGTCTTACATTCGGGAGTCGCTAACCACACAACAACTCCATGAGATAAATACCAGGATGGTGAAATTTAGACTCCAAGAGGATAAAATTTGTTAAGGTTACAAGGATGAAATGGTACTAAGAGAAGGTCTGACACATCATAGTCCTCAGTAGAGACTGACTGAGGCATAAAAATTCCACTGTCAGAAGATGCCAACTTATTTTCACCTTTAGCTTTTTGGATGCTGACCAGTTTTTCCTAACATTCTCCAGGATTTATCAGAGGTTTACAGTACCTATTAACCTGGCTCAGATGATCTCAAGACTCCCTCTGAAATAGTAAAGCACAGCAATCATTCGGCTGTCTTCTACTCTCTTTCCTGAGGTGAAATTGTCTGTACATTTCTGGGTTTGCAAAGGTTCTATGGCCTCCAGAGCCTATGGCTTTCATCCATGTGGTAACTAATACAGAGTAATAAACTGGTGTTCAAAACAATTTCCTTTAAAGTAAGGCTAATAACTTAATGCCAACATTAATTTGTTTATATTATGGGTTAAACATTAACAAAATTAGTCACCAAAATACCCAACTTATTAAACCATCATTGACTATTGATCAACTTTCAACACGTGGGTTGAATCTACTTGATTCACCCTACTCTGAGCCACATTTAATTGATTTTACAGTCCTAATGGTCACAAAGTCACATAAGCAAGCCTTGTTAAAGGTAAAATCACTCACTTGGGCAAACTCTGGGAGTGCCTTTCTTAGCCTTATCCTTGTGTGACATTAACTGTTCCCAGGTAGGAGGTTTTGATGAGGCAACAGTTGGTGACATCACAGAGCAGTTCTATAGAACACTTCTACAAAATAATGTTTTGGCTCCCTGTGCAGTTTACACTAATGTCATCTTTTCATGGAATAATGGATGGTTGGTAAATTTGTGTTTTAAATCTTTTTTTGTTTTGATGAGTAATATTTATTTGGTTATAGGTCAGTGATGCTGAGATTAAAGCATGAAGTCTGTGAGGACTGTCTAATAACTTTTCTCCCCATCCCCTCCTCCCATCTCCAAACACGCATATACTTTGTTTTGTTTTGTAAAGATGAACGTGGGAATTTATTGTTCAGAAAGATTTGATGGCATTTCATTGATTTGCCAATACAAATGTCAATTGTGGCTTCAAATCAGAGTTCTTTGGTAGATCAGTTGTAATTACAATGATGTACCTCTGACGAAGGTGGTGGAGGAGTTGACCTTAAAGGAGAGGCAGCAGACGCATCAGCAGTCACTGGCATGGGGAAGCTTGGGTTGCCTGCTGGTTGCAGGTTAATAGGAAGACCATCAACGACTGGTGAATAAAGATACGTGTTTGGAAAAAGGGAAGGCTCCCCCATTTTATCAAAATAACTTCTATGTAAGGGAGAAATATTGTGGTTCTCAGAAGCACTTGTGGTGGTTATGAAATTCCGAATGTGAATGTTGGCTCGATTGTAGCTGCTATGTGAATGCACAGGAAAGGTGGTCAACTGCCTTGAAAGAGCATTTTGATTCATTAAAATTTGTCCTGATGGTCGAAGTAAAGTAGACGATGGAGGAGCAAAAGCAGTTCTGATTGGCTCAGTTGTCTTAGCCATTCTCTGGCTGGTAGCAGGATTTCTTAGTAGAGGCATATTTAAATTTGTGGAGTGTGAAAATACACTCTCCCCACTTCTTTCAGCAACATGACCAGAATTAGGGTTATTCACATGACCCTCAGCTCCAAAGTGCTTCTTGTTGAAATCTTGAACTAATGAAGTTGCTGAAGAAGCAGTTTTAATCCCACGTCTTCTTTTAATCCTTACTAAAAGTTGGGGACACCCTCGTTTAAAATTGGGATTATGATAGCACTGTAGCTAAAAGCAAAGGAGAAAGTACTTTAGTGACATTTTCAACCAAGGTACAAGACCTTAACCAACCTAACTCTATGAATTATGATTTCAGTTTCATCACAAAAATTTAATGTCATAGAACAATACATGTCCAAGTGTCCCCAAACCTGGGGCCTCAGACTACCTGGAACCTGTTAGGTTCAAACCACACAGTGGAAGGTGAGCCAGTGAGCAAAACATTGCTCCCATACTGCCTAAGCCCCATCCCTGTCTCCCATTCCAGGCCCTCTCCCAAATCTCCTAACCCCCAACGTGAGGATAAAGTACCTTGCTTGAAACTGGGCATAGGGCCAGAAATGTCGAAGCCTGTTGAGTACACTGCTAATATGTTAAAAATGTACTTATTTAGCACAAACATTTAGTTATGATTGCCAACTAAAAATGTGTTGTATATTTCCAGTAACTGGGGATGCTACTTCAAAAGGTTCTAGGGCTTCTATTGAAATAGAGTTCATTGATAAGGTTCAAAGTTATGAGGAAAATTCCCTATAATCTTGAATGTTGATGCTCAAATAGTCCTACATTTAGACAAAATATTTGAGTGGTGTTTAATATGATTTCAAAGATATGTTTTAGCTCTTATAAATTGATGCAGACCCCAGCTCATGGGATCCTCCACATTGTAGATGAAGCACAAAAAATTCACATGGACTTCTGAGTCCTGTGGAGGAAAAGGGACAGCAAGCCTTCTCTCTCAAGAGGAGAAAAAGACTTGGAGTACCTTAGCCACCCTCTCAAGAGGAAAGCGCCCTGACCCTTGCCTCCACAAGCTTTTATTGGGTTCAATTGGCACAGGAATAATGCTCATCAATCATTGTCAGGCAGAAATGGTTAAACAATAGATAAAAAGCATTCAAAGAACTCTGAGGGCTTATTCTGAGTCAGGGTCAGATAGTTAAAGGGCCATAAAACTTTGGGGAACAAACTCACTTCCTGCTTGGTCCCTTATCATTTAAATCGAGGGTATTAGCAAAGTAGGTTTCACAGGATTTTACATATTCTTGCTTAGGCCTGATCCCCTAGGGAACCCACCCTTTCCAGCTCAGGGCACCCACTTCCAGCATTGTTTCAGGCTTAGGGCATTGTTTCAGGCTTAAGTCAGGCAGGGGAAGTAAGGCCTCAGGCTATGTCAAAGCCAAGGGGTGAGGGTCCATTACCTCCTTTCTCTATAGCCCCCAAAGTCCTTCCCTGGGCCCCCCTGTGATCATGCCTGTCTTAGGTCATCCCTCCCTTGAGGACTCTTACCCATCATTGGCTAACTGATCAAGCATTGGGGGCCAGGCAGGTGAAGTATAAAAGGAGCAGAGTTAGTGCTCCTGCCAGGGAGATAAGCTTTGTCTTCTTAGTGGCTTATGGTCCCAAAGTCACTCACTTAGCCCCAGCTGAGTTTATACATTTCTTATATAAATTG